CCTGTAGTCCCAGCTACTCGGGAGGCTGAGGCAGGAGGATCGCTTGAGCCCAGGAGTTTGAGGTTGCTGTGAGCTAGGATGACGCTACGGCACTCTAGCCCGGGCAACAGAGTGAGACTCTGTCTCAAAAAAAAAAAAAAAAAAAAAAAAAAAATGAGGCATATTCAAGGAAATTTTGCTTTTATTTCTGTTCCTTCCATGTATCCCTCCCTTTTCTATAAATAATCTTTTTTAAAATTTAAGGTTTCCTTTCACACTTTTATTTTAAATATAAGTGTATCTGTATTTACATATTTATATGTTCTTTGTTTCTTAGATACATGGCTGCATAGTAAAAACACTTTGTTCCAACTTGCTTTCTTTCCTTGTAGTGATTATTGTTGACTCCACAGTAGTGTGGGCAGATGTTCCTCATTCCATTTTTGGCCACAAGGTCTTCCATTTTGTGGGCATATTATAGCTTAGTGTCACAGATACCTGCATCTAAAGAGGTGCTCCAAAGCTCAACCTCATTCATGTAAACAAAAGCACAAACAAAAATACTGTGTACAAACCTGAGTATATAAATGTATAGAAAAATATTTAAAAGGAAACACATCAGTGATTTTTGTAGATGAACCCCACTAGAATGTAGTCTCCATTAGTGCAGAGAACTTTGTATGTGTTGGGGCCCGCTGTTGCCCCGGTACCTATAACAGGATCGACCACATAATAAATGCTCAGCAAATACTTTTTGAACGAGTGAATGCAGAGACTGGCATTTGGGAGGACCAATGCAAGCAGACTCGCTTTTCAGTGAGCCTGTATTTCCACAAGGAAACAATTGACAAAGCTCAGTAGTATTTTTGATGTGGTCTTGCTGCCTACAGTTTGCCACTGTTTCCAAAAAAAACACATTGTCTTCTCTGGGACCTGCGTCACTCATCTAGGTTACCTGTCTGTCCCCTGAGTGTATTTGGATTTGAAATCTTTCTATTAAAAAGCAAGTCATGGCTGAGATCCTGTTGTAAATAGGGGCAGAATCAGTGCACACTTGCTACAGATAACACCTTTATTGTTGAGTACAAGTCTGAATACCAAACATGCAAGCTGTCTGATATGGTGCGTGAAGCATGTATTGTGCTCTTTTTTTTTTTTTTGGCCTATGGAACATTTTATTTTTTTTTTTATTTCAGCAAATTATGGGTGTACATACGTTTAGGTTACGTGTGTTGCCCTTGGTTCCCCCCACCACCGAAGTCTTTTTGCTTTTGTATTCACGGAGCCCTCCAAGCATTTAGTTTTCACCCTTTTTTTCCATTCCTAGGACAGATTCATAGGGTTAGGTGATTTGCCCTGCTGGACATACAACAGCTGAAGCCACAGCAGCAGGTGGTCCTGCAGCAGGTGGTCTGGCAGCAGCTGTGTTGGCAGCAGGTCTCCTGGCCACAGCCTTGGTCAGAGCAGACAGAGCCACAAGAGGTAACCATGGTGTCAGAGGGTGGAGGTTCCAGGTGGGATTCCAGGAAGGTAGGTTTGGAAGGTTTGGAAGTCTCCTTACCCCAGGTTGCCTTTCATACCCTGCTAAGGGGCTGCTGTCATTAGATGCAATACTCTTTCCTTGTTTCCTGATAAATAGACAATTATCAAATTAGGCAAGTTTGTTTTCCTGGTTAAATTTTCAAAATGGATGGAAAACATTTCCTTTCCTGATGTGTGAGGTTTCCTCTAATCAGCTCTTCCTGAATCACCTCTTGTGTCCTTCTTGCTTTAGCTTCCTCCAAGACAGCCACACATGACATTCTGCCTCTAGGTGCTATGTGCTTCAGTCTCATGCTGCTGGTACCTCATGTCAGTCCTTGGGTGATGATGCTTCCAATAGTCCTATAATCCTTTCTGGTGACTCAGGAGGATAGAGCTGTGTTGTATTCTGATGGCTTTTTCATTATGGGTTAAGTGGGCACTGAGGATTTGAATGTGAAACAGGTGACCACTGGCATGAGACTTGGGTTGTTTTCTTTTCTTTTTTTTTTTTTATTTGAAATCACTTCTTAAAAATTAAATCCCAAATCAAGTGGAGATTTTCCTGAAGGTGACAGCAGGAATTGGAAAGCTTCATTCAGTTGTGTTTTGAATATAAGTTTCCAGCAACCGAAGACAATCATTACAAAGCAACAGACACAAGATCATTGTATTTCTAGGCCAGGAAACTGGAGCTTTATTCAGAAGCAGCAACAATCAGATACAGAAACATCACCGTAGAAGGAAACAGAGGGTGTGGCATCCTTGCCCCACAGGCCCTGCAGGAATTTCCATGTTTGGGACAGGAGGATCTGGCACCCAGAAATCAAAAGTAGGGTGTAAAATTTGGGCAATTCTATTACTTTTTTTTTTTTTTTTTGCTATAAACGACACCTAATTTTATACTATGGGTCAACATGGGGAAAAGTCAACAAAGGAGAAAGTTTGACCTAAGGCCAGGATACGAACACATAGTTGGTAGGAATGGCCTCTCCTCAGTCGTCTATAAGGTGCATAAGGACTGCTTCTCTGATGAGTAAAGGGAAGGGGAGAGGGTGGGTCCAGGTAAGGGGCTCAGCAGCAAGAGGAGGCGCAGCACAGGGGACGGGGGCAGGTGGAGATGACGTAGGTTGGGCGATAGCAAGTGGTGTGGCAGGAGACTTGGCCACAGACTGGACGCAGGCAGCAGCAGGGGCGGCAGCAGGTGGGCTGGCAGCACTGGGGCTGGCAGCAGGTGGGCTGGCAGCAGCTGGGGCGGCAGCAGGTGGTTCTGCAGCAGGTGGTCTGGCAGCAGGTGGGGCGGCAGCAGGTGGGCTGGCAGCACACAGACTGGCAGCACTGGGGCTGGCAGCACTGGGGCTGGCAGCAGCTGGACACACAGCAGCTGGGGCGGCAGCAGCTAGAAATGCAGCAGCTGGGGCGGCAGCAGGTGGGCTGGCAGCACACAGACTGGCAACACCGGGGCCTGTAGCAGCTGGAGATACAGCAGCTGGGGCGGCAGCAGGTGGTCCTGCAGCAGGTGGTCTGGCAGCAGGTGGGGTGGGAGCAGGTGGGCTGGCAGCACACAGACTGGCAGCACTGGGGCCTACAACAGCTGGAGATGCAGCAGCTGGGGCGGCAGCAGGTGGTCCTGCAGCAGGTGGTCTGGCAGCAGCTGGGTTGGCAGCAGGTCTCTTGGCCACAGCCCTGGTCAGAACAGACGGAGCCACAACAGGAGCTGACCATGGTGTCAGAGGGTGGAGGTTCTGGGTGGGTTTCCAGTTGAGTGAGTTTCCTGAGTTTGGGAGTCTCCTTGCCACGGGTCCCCTTTTATACCCAGCTGAGGGGCTTTTATAATTAAGAAAAGACTGTCTCCTTGTTTTTGTTTATATGACATAAATGCAGTTAATTAGTTATATCATTGTGTCTTTCTAGTGAAAACTTCCAATATATAATTATTTCCCTTTTGTCAATTTCCCCAGTGTTCTCACATGAATCAATTTCATGTATTTCTTCCTTTGGTTTCATGGTCACATGATGTCAGTCCCTGGGTATTATGTGACATGGGAGAGTCACTGTCTCTTGTCTGTTTCTCACCTTGAAATGATTTTGGGAGGCTTACGATGGGGCTAGGATCCCTAGTGGAGAAATGTATGTCTCAATCCGATGGAATGCTGGTAGGAAAAAGGAAAGTAAGCGCCCGTTTTTGAGTGTGAGAAATGAGGAAGCTTATGATTCATTGTGTATGTTCTGGGTGGTCATTGAGCTAACAAAATTCCCGGGATGTCCCAAGCTGTGTTAACTGTCATCATCCTAGTACACCTTGAAACAATTAGTAGCAGCTCAATGTGTTTGAGGAGCAAAGAGTCAGCTGGGATTGATCTGTGTCTATCTTTAGAAATGTCCTCCAGGCTGAGATAATTTGGATGGTAATTTTTGATCTGACTTTTGAAATATCAAACTATATCATAGTTATGCTTTATTGACATTTTATTAAAATCTTTTTTATATGCTCTGAGCTAAAAATTCTAGCAGTTTTTGTAGTATCACTTATGTCTACTGTTGTTTTTAGAAGCATTGAGGGGAATATAAAAGACATACTCCTTATCTTACATGTATGTACACAGAAAATGTGTCCATAAAGAGTTTTTTAATCGAAGCTTCTTGTGATTATAGTTGTAATACAGGGCCTTCTTTAGTGCCATAGACTTTCAGGGGGAAAAAAGTTGTTCAAGGAAAGAACAAATGACCTTCATGATATTCTCTCTGCAGGGGAGAGAGTGGGTCTCCTAGCATTCTTTTAATCATCTTTTACTGGTGAGTTCAAATGCCATTTTTTGCCATATATTTCTTGGCCTCACACAAAGCAAAGTCCTTCTTCCATTGTTCTTCTGTTGTGCCTTATGTATGCATGGGCTCTACCATCTCATGTTCCATCAGAAATACATTTGTCTGTTGGCTACTTTAGAACACAAACTCCATTAGAGCAGGGACTACGCTTTATTCATCTTCGTATAATAAGGCCTGAAATAGAATGAGTTTTTTTATAAAGAAGATTATCTGTTTAATGAATGAAGATTTCAGTAAGGCTTTCAAGAGGCACACGCTAACCGTTGAGAAAACAAACCATTCGAATGGGTGGAGAGAAGAAGGATGCAAATGAAGGAGCACACAGTTGAGAACGGTCATAACCCTGGCTTGTGATGATGAAGGGACATGCTGGAAGGTATGTTTTGAGAAGCCATGAGAGAGAAGTTGAGATTAATAGAATGCGGGAGAGATTGCTGGTAGGCTTGAATCCTGGAAGAAATGGCAGGGAGCTATGAAAAGCGTTCAGGTGGGAATGTGAGGCAGTTTCTATGCTATATACAATTTATTTTAATTTTTGATCTGCCTTTAGAAATTCCAAAACACTCTTGGATTTCTGGGGAGAGATGGTGTTTAAAAAAGATTGAAGCGAGGCAGGGTGAGATGAACTCCCAGCATCTGGTGATGGCAATGAGCATAGTAAAGATAAGTTGTTATCTTTATTATG